CCCACCTCCTCCACTACCCACCTCCTCCTCCACTACCCCACCTCCTCCACTACCCACCTCCTCCTCCACTACCCACCTCCTCCTCCACTACCCCACCTCCTCCACTACCCACCTCCTCCTCCACTACCCACCTCCTCCACTACCCACCTCCTCCTCCACTACCCCACCTCCTCCTCCACTACCCCACCTCCTCCTCCACTGCCCCCCCACCTCCTCCTCCACTACCCACCTCCTCCACTACCCACCTCCTCCTCCACTACCCACCTCCTCCTCCACTACCCACCTCCTCCTCCACTACGCACCTCCTCCTCCACTACCCACCTCCTCCTCCACTACCCACCTCCTCCACTACCCACCTCCTCCACTACCTACCTCCTCCTCCACTACCCACCTCCTCCACTACCCACCTCCTCCACTACCCCACCTCCTCCACTACCCACCTCCTCCTCCACTACCCACCTCCTCCTCCACTACCCACCTCCTCCTCCACTACCCACCTCCTCCACTGCCCCGCCTCCTCCTCCACTGCCCTCACTTCTCTGAGTCACTGGTGTACACATCGAAGCCTCATGTTCCACCCCAGCCACGGAACCCTGCCCTCCCGGGGTCATGGTAGCTTTGGGGGCTGTGAGGCTGACCGTGGCTCGTCCCACCACCAGTTCACCAACCAGTTCACCTCCAGTTCACCACCAGTTCACCACCAGTTCACTAACCAGTTCACCACCAGTTTATCAACCAGTTTACCATCAGTTCACCACCAGTTCCCCACAAGTTCGCTAACCAGTTCACCAGTTCACCACCAGTTCATCACCAGTTTACCCCATTTACCATCACTTCACCACCAGTTCACCAACCAGTTCACCTCCAGTTCACCACCAGTTTACTACCAGTTCACCACCAGTTCACCACCAGTTCACCAACCAGTTCACCACCAGTTCACCACCAGTTCACCAACCAGTTCACATCCAGTTCACCAACCAGTTCACATCCAGTTCACCAACCAGTTCACCAACCAGTTCACCATCAGTTCACCAACCAGTTCACTAACCAGTTTACCACCGGTTCACCAACCAGTTCACCACCGGTTCACCAACCAGTTCACTAACCAGTTCACCACCGGTTCACCAACCAGTTCACTAACCAGTTTACCACCAGTTCACCAACCAGTTCACCATCGGTTCACCACCAGTTCACCAACCAGTACACTAACCAGTTCACCAACCAGTTCACATCCAGTTCACCACCAGTTCACCACCAGTTCACCAACGTCCACGGCAGCTGGAGCACTTCACAAGCTGCAGCCGCCGGCCCCTGTGTTGTTTTTTTTTTTTAATATTTCAACAAAGTGCAGAAGGCAGTTGCGCGAACACATCTGCACCGCAAGGCTGACGACAGAAAGCCAAAGCCAGAAGACAGGAAGCCGTAGACTGCTCTTCTGTGGGGATACGCAGGTCTCCCGGAGCAGCCAGGACTCTCGTAAACCGTCCAGGGAGAGAAATGTGGGCAGAGGGGCGACGGTGACTTCCGAGAGGGAGCAAGAGCAGCGGATGCCCCGCCCCCGGGTGCCTGCCCTTCTCCCCTCACAGGGATCCACTCTGCCCCTCTGCCCCCTCTTCCTGCTACACCCTGTGCCTTTGGTCCGGCCGGTGTTTACCTCACACCTCATCATTCTCTCCACGGGTTTCCCCTTTTCCTTCTCTTTATCCCTCCCTCCCTCCCTCGCAGTCAATAGTGTTCTTTCCCCTTCCTTATTCAGTGGCTGAAGACACAAATTTGTCACACATTGCATGGAGGTCAAGTCTTGCTCATCGCCATGGTGGCACACTCATATATTTTACACAAAGGTTACATAGCACTGAGACATAGTAACCAGGGTCCCTCAGGCCAGTGAGGTTGACAAAGTGCCATCCAGTGCCGAGCCATCTCATTTCCTTCGATGGCTCTGACCCAGACAACTTTTAGTTCCTTCCATTGATGGCTCTCTCCCTTCTTACATTTTTGGTGGTACTGGGGATTGAACTTGGCTCTCAGGTGCTCTACCACTTGGGCCACACCCCAACACCAGTCTACATTTTTTTGCACCAGTTATTTTAGAGGTGTGTGTGTATGTGGGTCTTGATTTCTGCCTACCTGGGCTGTGGGAATGACAGTGTGTCATTCTGCCTGGCCATGGGTGGAGATAGAATTTCACAAACTTTTATGTCCAAGTGGCCTCCAACCACAACTCCACCTTGCTAGGATCACAGGCTTGAGACACTGTAATTGACTTCCTTCTTCCCCTTAACTCTCACCTGTACTGGAGCTTGAACTCAGGGCCTTGGACTTGTGAGCCTCTTGAATCCTTATTTTTCAGGTAGGGTGTCATATATTCTTGCCTGGGCCTACCTAAAATGAGATTGCTCTTGCCTAGTCTTTCCGTGTATCTGGGTTCACAGCCACGTACCATCACACACACCTTAAATGGTTGAGATGAGGTCTTGCTCACTTGGTGCCTAGGCTGGCCTTGAACCAAGATCTTCCTGTTCTTTCTACTTGAGTACATTAGAAGGTTTCGAGTTGAATGAAATGCTGACATATTTCTAAAAGTTCTAGAACGTAGGGAAGCACCTTGCAATAAGGAGCAACACTGCAATAATCCAAGTCAAGAAATCTGAACGCCACGGGGAATATTTCCTGAGAGACTCAGAGTCATTTTGTTTTATAGTACAGGATAAAAAACGAATGATCATGATTTCCGTGCATGAAAAGTGAACTTTATTAGACCCTGATCTTTGAGGAAAAAAATCGGCAGGTTTTGCCCAGCCAGCCAAAGGGTTATTCAGTGTGTTGAATTTTCTGGAACACTGGAAAATGGCTCTTAGTAACCATCTGTCCATCTGTGGGAGGAACAAACAGGGAGCCAGAGAGGTAGGACAGGCTGAAGGACTTTATGAAGCAGCTTGCATGCGCTCCTCCGTATGCTCTGGCGGTGTTTATTGTATCTACATTTTATTTAGCAAAGAATGTTAAAAGTGCCACATTATAAACACACTCCTGCACTTCACTTGTAATGCAGAGGGTTTGTGTGTTTACATATTTTAAATGGCCCCCACAGCAATTTGCACAATTAGGTTTTCTGCTCTCTCAATAATTTGGCCCTTTTCAGAGTTGGAAGCATGTCTTACAAGATCTATCTCCAGCACCTAGCATAGGGTTTGGCAGTAATTCTTGCTAAATGTATACATAATAGAACTTAATTAAGGGTGGTGGAAAGAAAAATATGTGGGTTACTGACAGCAGCCAGAGAAACCTTGTCCTGTAAAGCATCCCCATCTCTCTTAGGAAAACACCCAGGTGGGGCCAGGCGCTGGTGGCTCACACTTGTAATCCTAGCTATTCTGGAGAGTGGTATTGGAGGATGGGCAGCCCAAGCAGGAAAGTCCATGAGACTCTTGTCTCCAATTAACCACTAGAAGGTGGGAAGCGACACTGTGGCTCCAAGTGGTAGAATGCAAGCTAGCCTTGAGCAAAAGTGCTTAGGGTCAGTGCCTAGGCCCTGAGTTCAAGCCCCACAACTGACAAGGCAAGAAAAAAAAGACACTCGGGTACTGTATCACCCTCAGTCTGAAAAACACAATTTGAGACACTGCTGTTGTAGAATTTAGCATCGACTCCTAATTGCATCTTAAATCTCAATGAGCCAGAAGAGTATAGTCTCACCCTGTGCTGGGTGCCCAGACTATTAGTAAGCAATGTGACCTGAGTGTTCCTAGCCTCAGACTTACTAGCTGGTGATAGATTGGTGTACAAGGTTGTGTGTGTGTGTGCGCGTGCAACACGGGTGTGTGCATGCGCCTATACAGGAACCTATGACCCCCCCAAGACAGAATCCGAGTCTCCAGCTTTATGAGAGGGGCCTAAGCCAGGCCTCTCTCCTTCTAGGCCCCTCAACCAGCATCTCTGTGTAGAGAGGCTTTGGCTTTCCCAGCATTCCCTGGGGATGGGGAGGGGGGCACGGAGACCCTCTTCCAAGTCCCTTCCCCTGGGCCTCATCTGTCCAGCATCCTCTCCAGTGAGGGAACGCCATCTCAGTTGCCATCCCCTGGGGGGAAGCCCCTGTCCCAGGTCCTCTGTCCTGAACTCCATTTCCTCTCATTCGCCTCCCTTGGGAAAGCCCCTACCCCAGGCCCCCACGCCTCCCCTGGAGAAGCCCCGGCCCCAGGCCCCCACGCCTCCCCTGGAGAAGCCCCTACCCCAGGCCCCCACGCCTCCCCTGGAGAAGCCCCGCCCCAGGCCCCCACCCCTCCCCTGGAGAAGCCCCGCCCCAGGCCCCCACCCCTCCCCTGGAGAAGCCCCGCCCCAGGGCACCCCCACCCCTCCCCTGGAGAAGCCCCGCCCCAGGCCCCCACCCCTCCCCTGGAGAAGCCCCGCCCCAGGGCACCCCCACCCCTCCCCTGGAGAAGCCCCGCCCCAGGGCACCCCCACCCCTCCCCTGGAGAAGCCCCCGCCCCAGGCCCCCACGCCTCCCCTGGAGAAGCCCCTACCCCAGGCCCCCACCCCTCCCCTGGAGAAGCCCCCGCCCCAGGCCCCCACCCCTCCCCTGGAGAAGCCCCCGCCCCAGGCCCCCACCCCTCCCCTGGAGAAGCCTGGGCGCGGACCCCCCTCCGCTGGGTCCTGTCCTCAGCACCTTCTATGCGGCCCACCACGGGGCACCCCTCGCTCCACCGTGCTCCCCGGGGGCACCCGTACCCCCCGCCTCCAGACGACCCCCAGCCCCGTCCCCGCGCGGGACTTCCGGCGGCGCCCCCTCCCCTCAGGCGGGACTTCCGGCGGCGCCCCCTCCCCCGCGAGCCGCGTCGTCGTCCGCCCGAGGGAGCGGGCGCTGCGCTGCGGCGGCGTCTTCCTGCGGGGCGGCGCGGGCGGGCGCGGCCTCCTCCTCCTCCTCGGCCTCCTCCTCCTCGGCCTCCTCCGCCTCCTCCTCCTCCTCGGCCTCCTCCGCCTCCTCCTCCTCCTCGGCCTCGGCCTCCGTGCCCGCGCTCCCCGCGCCTCGTCCCCGCCCGCTCCGCGTCCTCGCCCCGCGCGGCCGAGCTGCGAGCGGCAAGATGGCGGCGCCCAGGCCTCTGCCCGCGCGGATGTCGGGCGTCCTGGTGCAGGCGCCCATCCAGGACCTGGAGGCGCTGCGCGCGCTCACGGCTCTCTTCAAGGAGCAGCGGAATCGGTAATGGCGGCGGGGCGGGGCGGGGCGGCGCGGCGGCGGCGGCGGGGTGCGGAGGCCGCGTCCCCGCCCGGCCCGGCCCGGCCGTCCTCGGCTGGGCGCCGGCTCGTGCGCGGCCCGGCCGGGGGGGGTGTGGGAGCCGGGGGGGGTGGGACGCGGCCCGGCCGGGGGGGGGGGTGTGGGAGCCGGGGGGGGGGGTGTGGGAGCCGGGGGGGGGTGGGAGCCGGGGGGGGGGGGTGTGGGAGCCGGGGGGGGGGTGGGACGCGGCCCGGCCGGAGGGGGGTGGGAGCCGGGGGGGGGGGGTGGGAGCCGGGGGGGGGGTGTGGGACGCGGCCCGCACCGCACCGCACCGCACCGCACCGCACCGCACCGCACCGCACCGCACCGCACCGCACCGCGGCAGGGCCGCCGCCCGCCCGCCCGGCCCGCGCGGGGCTTTGCGGGAGAGGCCTGCGGCTCGGCCGGCCGCCGCCGCCTCCCAGGCCCGCAGACGGGGCCCGCAGCCCCGAGGGCCGCGCGCCGGGCCGCTCCCGGACCGGCCGCCGGCGCCAGCCCGGGAAGCTCCGTGTGCGCTGCGGCGCCGAGCGCAGGACGCCCAGGCCCGACGCGAGGCCCCGCCCCGCCGCGCCCAGCGCTTGTTTGCTATTGTTCTTTTCTCCTAGATCTCAGTTCCTTCTAATGGTTGGTGGAATGATGTTGGACAGACCCTCTGGCCGGACTAAGTGCGGATGCATGAAATAAAGCATATGGAAATACAGAGTGATGTCCTCATTACCCCCACCCACTGCGTGCTTGTCCTCATTACCCCCACCCACTGCGTGCTTGCTATTGTGTTCTCTGGTTCTCAGTTCCTTCTAATGTCCGATGGAATAATGTTGGACTACGTGAAAGAATGCATCTTAAGTCTTAGCATTAAGCATTTGTGATCTCACTCAACACATTCCCCCCCCCCCCCCTCATTGTTCTAGTTGATGAAGTGGGAGCTGGAAGTCTTTGTTCTGCCCTAGGGAGCTGAGCTAACACCCAGTCCTGGGATTGAGCTGGGGGACGGCAAAGGGCCAGGAACTTGAAGGACTGGAACTGCTGCTCTTGGGTTGGTCAAGATGGTCACCTAGGGCCCCTTTTCTAACCCAGACTGCATCACTCGCCCGGCCTCTGCTCAGGGTAGAGGGGGAGAGCGCTGCTGCCTGCAGCTGAGGCCTCCAGGCCCTGCTCCTTGGGTTTTGGGCAGCGTATTAATTGATGCATTGTTATACAAAGACATCTGTTGATTGACTTAATGCTTAGGCAGATCTCTACCCTGTGGGAACCACACCTTAGGGACCAACCATGTATTAAACACCACTATAAAACGGTTTCTTTGTAAACACATAATATATGTACATATGTATACACATACATGATTAAACTGAAGTATGTATGTATGTACACGCAGAGTGAGATTCCAGGGTACAACCTGTTTGAACAGTTTAGCGGTTTAACATTCTGAAACATTCTTGACTGGGGGGTGGGGGTAGATGATCAGACAGAGGGCAGGAGCTTGAGGGTGGTCGTGATTACTCAGTGGCCATAGATAAAATGCAACCTGAAATCTGATGAGACTAGTCTGCTGAGGGGAGATCAGAGGAGAGGGGCCTGACCAACGCATTGTTTAGATAAATGGACATGTTAAAGGAAAACATCCCTGGACAACTACCTGAGGACAAACAGGTTCAAGGCTGAGGATTGAGGGTGAGGAAGTGAGTGTGACACGATCCCTCTTATCAAGTATGTGAGGAAATCACCGAAGGGACAAGTTAGAATGGATTTCTGTCCAGGGCTGATCTTGGCACCGGATGCCTGAGGCGAGCTGGGAAAGGTCAAGATTACAGCAGCCGCTGCCTCCCGATGAGAGGGCTACCGCCAAGAACAGTGCAGGGTGGGAGGGGCAGGGGATGTTTCCTGGTTTGCAGAGAGGACGTTTGCAGAGTGAAACATGGGTGATGTGGTCCAGAAAGAAGCAAAATGAACCCTCAGAGAAGCAAGTAGGAAATAGACAACAAAAATGAGAGGAAAGGCAGAAAGCAGTAGTAAGATTGTTTTCTTGGTGGAACAAAAGATTAGTGGAGTCTTACTGTGACCCTGAAGTGTTAGATTCTGTCTGTTGTGGTAAGCTGCATCACTGGATGGAAAGAGCAATAACCTTGGAATTGCGTAAGTTGTGTAGTCCTTCTATGAGTCTTGGTTTAGCTCCATGGACTTAACTGTTTCTTATCTTGAAAACAGAATAATAGCCAAGTGTGGTGGCTCATGCCTGTATTCTCAGATACTTGGGAGGTGGAGATTAGGAGGGATGATGGTTTGAGGCTGGTTTGGGGAAGAAGTTGGCAATGCTCCATTGCAGTCAAAAGCTAGGTATAGAGTCGCACATCTGCCATCCCAGCACCACCAAAATGAAAATGGTGCAGTACTAGCTCCTTGTAAGAACTGTGAGGATCTAGAAGGCGTAGCATCGATTTATGCTAAGTAGATGATGTTTTATGTATGACCTGATATTAAGTAACTGAACCTAATTGTGTTTAATTTTCCTTATTGAAAACAATTGAAGCTTTCAGAAAGATAATAGCTTATCCTAATTTTGAGGTTTACAGAGAGGGATCTGATCTTATTAAAAAAAAAAATTGCTGGATCCCGGTGGCTCACGCCTGTAATCCTAGCTACTCCAGATCTGAGAGCTGAGGATCTTGGTTTGAAGCCAGCTATGGCAGAAAAGTCTCTGTGAGACTCTTATCTACAGTTAACCACTCAAAAACCAGAAATGGTGGGGTAGCTCAAGTGGTAGAGCCTTGGCCTTGAACACAGAGAGGCTCAGGGACAGCACTCAGGCTCTGAGTTCAAGCCCCACAACTGACAAAAAGAAAATTCTCACACCCCCGTTTTAGGTGTTTTTAAATATGTTCACAGGTCTCTGTCCTTCAGGAGGAGGTAGTGTGGCTGAAGGCAGTGATTTGTTTCTGAAGCAGAAAATCAGGGCAGATGAGACTGAGTGCTTCCCAGGCCAGATCGTCAGAGGGATTACAGCTTTCTCTGGGACCACTGCAGGAGGACGCTCACTTGTGGGGACACAGCTGCTGCTCTGGGGAGACCCCCGAGCCACGGGGTGAGGACAGGAATGTTACTGCTTCAACCTGCTGACACTTGGCGGTAACCATTAATGCAATCTAAATGCTTTAGGCTTGGTATTCTGTAGCCAGCTTCTTGAACAGCCTGTTAGTCACTAACTTGCTAAAAGTTAATGTGTGGTAGAAAATGTCACACTTACGAACCCCTTTATCCTAAGGCTTTATGGAAGTGGCGCTGTGGCTCAAGTGGTAGAGCGCTCGCCTTGAGCTGAAGAGCTGAGGGACAGTGCCCAGGCCCAGAGTTCAAGCCCCATGACCGACAAAAAAAAAAAAAGTACGTAATATATACTGACATACTTCATACTTGATTAGCATAGCTTTCTCTCTTTCCAGACTGAGGGTAGAGGTTTTTGAGTTTTTTTTTTTTTTTTTTTTTTGTCATTTTCCTGTTTAGGTGTTTGAATTTGTCTTAGGGAATTGACAGCTAACACATGTCATTGCTCTCAGTTTTCTCTCTTGCTTCTGGTACTCCAGTTACACACATTAAGCCTTTTACTGCATCCTCTATGGTCGCTTTTCTGTACTTTTTATTATTTTTCTCTTTAAACTTGTGTAAAAATTTTCCAGCTTGCTTTCTAGTTCTCTGAGCCTCTAATTTGCTATCATCATTGTGTTCTTAGGTTCAGGTACTATGTTTTTGAGTTAATGTATTTCCATTTAATTCTTTCCTAAATGGATTTCTGTTCACTGTTGAAATTTTTATTGTTATCTCTATTGAGCATATTAATTACAGTTGTTTTAAGGAAAGTGCCTGCTAAGTCTTGTGTTTTTTTTTTTTTGTATTCAGTCATGTGGTCCTGTCTTTTTTTTTACTGAATACAGAATATCGTATGTTGGCCATTTGAAGCCTTTTCAAAACAAAAATCAACCTAAAAACTATTTCTTTCAACAAATGGTGGTGGACTAACTAAATTTCTTTCTTTTTTCTTTTTTATGTGGTGCTACTGTGGTCTGAACTCAGGGCTTTGTGCTTTTGCTTGCCTTATTTATTTGGCTGGCATTCTCCCACTTGAGCCATGCCTCCAGACCAAAACTAAGTAAGTGAAGGTTGAGCCAAATTTGAGAGCATTCATAAAAATACTGCAACATGGATTATAGATGTAAACATAGACAATGTTTAGAAGAAAACATTAAGTGACTTATCTTTGCGAGTTTGCACGTAGCCAGACATTTCCTGTCCGCACTACAAATAGCACTCACCATGAAAATAAAATACTAACTTCATCATTTGACTGTATCCAAATTGAAAATATTCTACCAAGACATTCCTTTAGGAGAAAAGGCAAACCACAACCTCAAAGTGTTTGCAACATAAATGTCTAACAAAAGTCTTGTGTCAGAATGTATAAGATAGTCTTCCTCAAAGCTATAGTTCACCTGGTTGTGGTGGCTGAAGCCTGTAATTCTAGTTGCTTGGGAGGAAGGGAATTGGCAGCCCTGGCAAAAATAAGTAATCATCTTAACCCATGGCTGGTCATTGAATGTAGCTATTATTCTAGCTATGGGAGCAGTACAGTGGCTAGGTTTTATCCTTAATAATATATGTGCACAAGTAGAAAGAACAGAGCCCAGTTGGCCCAGGCGTACCCAGTATGAAAAGGGGCTGGAGGTGTGGTTCACGTTGTAGAACACCTGCGTAGCAAGCTGAGGCTTTTATGTTCAGCCCCTCCAACACTGCCAAAACAAAACTAGGGCAGAAAAAAACCCTACAACTCAATAATTGGAATATCCATTAAAAATTTGGCAAAAGTGTCCTTTACAAAGATATGTAAATGCCAGTAAGTTTATGGTTAAATATTCAAGTGGTTACACATGAAGGAAATGCAGTTAAAACCATGATAG